CATTTTACTGAAAAACTCATCTTTCTGTAGCTAATTGCTAAATTAAAATTTCATAATAAACTTTTCAAAGTAAAGCTAAAACACAACAGCAGGAAATAGTTATTTACTGAGCTTTTATTAAATGGATATAGTGTTGTTAGATAAATTCCTATAAGGTAATTAAAATTCTCATTTTAAAAATAGTTTTCTCATAAAATAAAGAAGACTAAAAAAACATGTTTGATTTTTACTGTGTACTTTTATTCTAAATAATAATTGAATGTTTATGTAAGAAAGGAAAATACTGTCTTCCTCAAGCAGAATCTTAATGACCATTTGCATTTGAGTTACAGATGACATTAATTTACCAACACTGACTAACTGTATTATTCTCCATCATTTTGTTTTAAATTCATGTGTACAGAGTTCTTATCATACTCAGCGATATCCCAGATTTCATACTTTCCTTAATTTGATGACATTATGACATATTGTTCTGACAGTACTTTCATTAAGAGAGCCCTAATATTGTTATGGAATGCCTTTTGCAATGAGATTGATCGGTTTCATTTTAACTTCAATATTAAAGTCTTCCTCTGTTCTTTATCTGATGGTAACAGCTTCTACTGTTAATTAGTATTTACCACTAAATGTTTAAAGAAATGGAAAAATAACAAAAATGAATGAAATCTGAGTTCACAGGATATGATCTCAGAATAGCTGAACTTGTCTCATGATAACTAAGTATGAATCACATTTGGCCACACTGGGCATTGTAATGCGTCTTGTTGGCGTGGCTTGTGCTCTACTGCCAGAAGTTCAGAGATACTTGGTGAGCAGTTTGATCGGGGTCTTTTTAAAACTAGCACACCTAATTTTTAAAAGTGTTTATTTTTTATACCAAAGAAATGTATATTTAAAGCACATATATTGCGAGATAGAGTGGGAACGTGGCATTTTATTTAGATTTCTATTAGGAGTCCTGAAGATTGCGCGACCCCCCCTTCTGATATCTTCCTCTAGCCCCTCACTACATTAAGATTTTCCAGTGATGCTATGAAGGTCATTCCTTGTGTGTACAACAGCAGGTTGTGTGAACTTGTAGAAAGCCTGCCTTCAGCTTCTGCCAGACCTGAAGTTACTTCTGAAGCTCCTCACATGGGAGCCGGAGCTGGGTTTTCTGGGGCTTGTTAAATCAGCTTTACCGAGTTACTTGGGAGCTCTTCTTTGTGCTTACACTGCAGATGACAGTAAATGAAATGCATTTCAACAGTTGGGCCTCAATTTGTGTGACATTAATTCTCTGGAGAGTTAATTTTCTGACCTCTGCTTCACAACACATCTCCTTCCTGTAGCTCACCACCTCCTTGGTGCTCTTTGGAAGAGGTTAGATCCAAGGTCAGGTTTTCCTGTCTTCTTGCCCAGGTTCTGGGTTGGTAATTAGAAGAACGGTGTTGTAACAAGTTTGCAAGGGGATCTCATTTCAAGGTGATGTAGGAGATTGTTTTCTCATTGCTATTTTTTAAAATACTAAGTGTTGGATTAGATTCTTGTTTTTGGTATATTTAGTAGAAAATTCTAAATGATTTTTTATTGCTCCAGACAATGTTTTGAATTACTTATTGATCTTAATTTTTAGTTTGAATCTAATTTAGCACAGGGTCTCTGTTTTCCTGTTCTTTTTGTTGGGTTTATTTTCACTGTTTGGTGATGCAGTGAGGCATTATACAATAAAACCTTTTTCTAAGTCACACATGACCTTATGCATGTATGATCTGTAGAGAATTTTTAGTGTTATTTCAGGAAGGCTTGGATAGCACAGAGAAAATATATTTTTTTTTTTTTTTTTTTTTTTTTTTTTTTTTTTTTTTTAGGGCAGTGAGCATCTATGAAAAAGAGAAAAGGACACAAAAGCAACAGTCACTTTTACGGACTAATTTCATAGGCTGCATAATTTGCCAGCTGCACTTTATTTGGACAATATTTTAATTGAGTTTTCTTTCTTTTTTCTTTTCTTTTCTTTTGGTACCAGGGATCGAACTCAAGACCTTGCACTGTGAGGAAGACAGTGGCACCTCTGAGCTAAATCCCTGGCCCAATTGTATTTTCATTTGAAATGGTAGCATAACTGTTTTGGACTTTTCACAGAGTAAAAAATCTCTTCACAGAGTAAACAAATGTCTTTTTGTTGTCTTCTACAAGAACACTTTTAGAGGGTCAGGGTTGTAGTTCAGTGGCCCCATGCCTGCTCGGCAAGTGCAAGGTCCTGAGTTCGATCCCTAGTACATAAAAACAAACAACAACAAAAAAAAACCCAAAACCAACACTGTAGAAATAGTAAAGCAAGTATCACACAGCTTTTTCTGTGCTGAAATTATTCCCTTATTAAATTATTGTAAAAGACCTTCTTAGTGATAGACTTGGAAAGAGATATTTAAATAAATGCAAACTTATATTTAAAAAAATACAAACTTCCACCCTACCACCACCACCACCACCACCACCACCACCACCACGAGGCATTAAAGAAGCCACTTCAGCATAGTTACAAAAGAGGGCGCTCTTGAACTGAGAATCCTAGTAAGTCACTCCCTCCTTTCGTCCCCATCCAAGATAAACTGCCATTGCCAATCCTGAAAAGTCAGTGTGAATAATCCTCAAGAGGAAAAGAAGAAATCTCCTCAAATACCAAGTTACTGTAAGAATAAAATGGAAAATCAGGCTATAATTTTCTTACTAAATTGACACAAAGAATGAAAGCAAAAATAAAAGGAAAGATTAAAGTACAGAACAGAGGAAATCTGAGAGGCAGCACTCAGATATGAATATATGAATAACCTCGATTAAACAAGCTGTTGCATTATGAAAAGACACCATGAGTCAGACATTTAAAAACTGTCAGTTTGAATAGAAAAAAACAACATAAGATGTGTGAAATAGGAGATCACTGAGCTCTGGAAAGGAATCGACCAGAAAAAAAAAACCAAAACAAAAAAACAATAAATAAATAAAAGGGCAAATCATTTCAGGAGTGAAAGCTTAAATTACAGAGTGCCCAAAGGAAGATGGATATTACCAAAAGTTCAGTTAGAGACATGAAAAATAGAAAGAGCCGAGAAAATAATACTGAAATAAGACATAAAAAGGATCAGAGAAAAAAAAAATGACAGAGAAGATCTCGTATACCTAATTTAATGCTTAACTAGAAAAACAAATGAACAGTGAATAGACATGGTATTTAAAGTTATAATCAAAACTTCTTGGATATAAAATAACTAAATTTCCAAATAGAAGGGACTCCTGTCTCCTGTGTATCTGGGAGAATTGATCTAGAATAACCAACTCTTATGATGTAGGATCTTAAAATAAAAAGGAGATAAAGGCTATGTGATTCTACAATTTAAAAGAATAGTAATAATTTTCAAATAGTAAAACAAAAATACATTAAAATTGGGCCGGGGTTTTAGCCCAGTGGTGTTGCTGCCTGCCTCGCAGTACAATGTCTTGACTTTGATCCTCGGTGCCAAAAAACAAACAAAACACATTAAAATTGAATAATTTAAATGGAAAAACATCAAATTGGTATCATGCTTCCTGACAGCAACATATATAAAGCAAGAAAACAATTTTTTTTTTTTTTTTGGTACCAGGGATCAAACTCAGGAACTTGTGCTTGAGAGGCAGGTGGCAGAACCACTGAACTAAATCCCTGGCCCATAAGAAATATTTTTAAGAAATAAAAAATAATCATTTTAATTAGTGGTAAAATATTTAATAAGTAAAACGTTATATGTCCACGATACCCGAGTTTACTAGTTAATTGGACTGTATGCAACTTTGAAAAGTATTGCAGTTTATGAAGAAAAATCTCAGTCATGCCTATGGGCTGATAAATGCTGAGATATCTAGATGTGTGTTGCTGAGATATCTGCAACTTACTTTTAATGGTTCACCAAAAAATTATCACATAAAAACATAAAAATGTATTTAGAATTTTTTGTGTCTTGACCTTTAAAAAAAAGTTACTTAAATTGCCTAATTTCAAATGTTTTTGCACAACTACAGAAATGTTTTTTGTTGTTTGAGAAACATTTTGCAAGTAAAATGCATTCTGTCTTCTACATAGCAAATTTAGATTTTTGGAGTAAGTAGTTTTTTTTTTCTTTTTTCTCTTTCTGAGAGTTAATGTTTGTGATCTGACTGTTGCCCATTGTTTTTCAGCAGAGTCCTAGTAAAATTGCTGGTGTAATAACAAGAATTGGAGTGATAGTGTCAAACTGATTCACTGAATTCTCCCCATCACGGGATGCAGTGAAAGAAAAGACACAAACAAAAACAAACGGATTTTACTGAAGAATTTCCTTGATGAGGAAGGAAAAGATTTTATTGACTTTTTATTTCTGATTTATAATATTTATATATCATTGATGAGAGCCTTTTCTGATACACAATGCATTAAAATTTTTCCCCCACTGTATTATTTTACTTTTTACTTTCTTGATTGTGATCTTTGAAATACAAAGGTTTAAAATTTATTTTTTCTTTTATTGCCATCTGTGAATTTTTTATACATGAAAGCGTGGACAGGGCTGGGGATGTAGCTCAGTGGTGCTGCCACCTGCCTCGCAAGCACAAGGTCCTGAGTTCAATACCCGGTAAAACCCTCCACCCCCAATGTGGACACATTTTTAAAATGAACATTGTGCAATGCTTTAAAGCAAAGTTTTGTTTTTAGGTCAGTGAAAGTATTGATCTGTGGTAAAATATACAGCTGTATTAATTTGCTAGGAGCTGACAAAGTATCACAGACAGGTGGTGTAAGCAATAGATATTGTTCCCCTTGGTGTGGGAGCTGGAGAATGTCAGCGGGGTCGCTTTCTCCTAATCCCCTCTCCTTGACCTGTCATTAAATGGCCGCTTCCCTTGGTGTCTTCAGTTTTGCTTTATTTAAATATTTTACTTATTTAAAAATAGTATCTGCCTTAACTTTGTTTTTTTTTTTTTTTATTTCTTTTCTTCAGTTATAAGGAAGACCAGATGGATGAGGAATTAATGGAACCTCTGAAATACGTTGAACAACTTCCTGTAGCTCAGATAATACACCAGGTTTGCTTTCCATTTTGTTCTTTTGAAAGAAACAAGACTGTTAATCTCTGAAAAATAATTGCTTTTGTTAGGGTTTTCAAAATCAATGTGCTATAGCTGAAAGGCATTTCAGACTGTCTGTCCCTATTTGGGCTCCACCTATTACGGTTAAAAGTCTCATTCACTGCACAATATTAAAATGCTACTTCAAGTGAAAAAAAAATACTACTTGCTGTGTAACACTAGAATTCTTACATTTGTAAAATACAGGGTAATCAGAATTATCTTGTGTGTCTTAATAACAAAACTTAATTTTAGAAAACTTCCATTTTGAACTCTTGCGTGTGGTACTTGTTCATGATGAGGACAAAGCTGAAAATAGATAATTTGGTGTAGTTTTTTGGAAAGGAAATAGTCGATCTACTTCCTCCACCCTACCCCATTATCAGCTCTTGTGAAGTGTAATTCTAAATGTAATGTGGGCAGTTTGTTCATTTCCAATTATAATGACTCTACCATCCCTCTGCATAATGATAATCTTAGAAAAGGCAGTGTTGTTAAGTATTTAAGCTTAGACTTTGTACTGTAATTTTGACAGCATATAACCTCTACCCTTCTGGGCCAGAGTCTAATCATTTTAAATGGTCTGTTGACTAGAGCTGTAGCCTTTAGACCTAGCAGATTTTTCAAATCTTTACAGATTTATAGGAAATACTTAAAACCCTTCCATGTCAGAATTTCTCTGAATTGTTGCAAACTATGATTATTTGATTCTTTATGTATATCCTTTCAATCAAAAGAATTTTTATCAGCTACAGGTTGACAAGACGTGCCAGTTTGAGCTTATTAAAAGAAACAGGCTTTTACTTTGAAATGTTGGCTATATAGATCTTTTCATTGATATTAAAATTCTATGAGAGATTACCAAAAAGTGGTGAGAAACTTACCCCTATGGGAAGCACATCTGTGCTTGGTAATCAGGTCCAGTTTATATGTCAGGAATTCCCTCGTGTTGTCAGAGCTTAAATGACCTAACAGTCTGCAAATGTCACATTTAAAATTCTGTCTTCATGCCTGACTCTCAGCATAAATGAATTAAACAGCAGAGCAGGCAGCAAGTCAATATGTTCTTAACAGTAAGGGTGAGCAATGAAACAGTTTGTGGTTTGTTCAGAATAGGTAAATAGAATCTGCCCAGAACGGTTCACCTAGAATAAAATCTGAAAGAGGAAACAAGAATTAACCTTTAAGATGGTTGACCAGATGAAATGTCAGGAGTATTTTCATGGTGTGAATGAACTAATAAACTACCTGGCCGATGTAACAGCTGTGTTTTGCGGTGATACACTGAATTCAAAGATGACAAGTTTTGACCCTGGTGAAAATTTTAGATTGTATATTTTTTGGCAATATGGAACTATCCATTTTAATACTAGATTATAAACATAATTAAAATTGTTCAGTGCCTGATTTTATAGAATTCAAATCTTTAAAAAATTTCGTATGATATAAATTTATTTTATTTTCATTGAACAAAATTAATTCTTTTCTCAATGAAGGAGTAGTCAGGAAAGGTCACTATTAAGGACAGAGTCTTCATTTATTCCTGTTGTTATTACCTCATTTTTTGTTTTTTATTTTTTATTTGCCAGTGTGATAGCTCAGGCACTGTTACCATTGGGCTGTGCAAGTGGTCTTTAAGAAACAGGAGTTGTAATACTAGTAATTCACCAGTAAGGGATTATTTGAAAGCAATTTTTTCCCCGAGAGAATAATAATAATGTTTTAATTAGGTTCAGCTAATTCCACAAAAGCTTTTTAATCTGTATCTAAATTATAGCAGTATTGTGGTGTGTAACTAACTTTCACCTGCAACTATTTTTGTGAGAAAGAATTCTGCATCATACTCGTACCTGTGCCTATTTAGAGCACACATCATTTCTATTTGAAACAAAGTTATTTATTTACATATTTTATATATCCTATTTGATTATCTGGACATTCTTAATGTTTTTTTTGATGTTCCTTTCAGCGTCTTTGTACCGTACATACATATGTCTGAATGGAGGCATAAGTATTTTTAATAGGACCTTGGAAACCAGGACCCCTCTCTTTTTCTTTCCTCCCTACTACCCAGGGGTCAGAAGCCAAGAACTGTCACTGTAGCACAGTTTAGAAGCTGTGCAAGGAATGGAGGCTTCTGAGGGACAGGGACAGAACAGAGACAGAGGCTGTAATGGGAAAAGCAGCTTGAGAAACAGAAGAGAGGAGTGAGCCTCAGTCCTTTGAGTATTCATTTCTGATGCAGGCTACCTACACTGCTTTCATAATCAGAGCTAGTTGGTTACCATTTTGTACTGCCAAATTATTTATTGTTTTTCTAGTGATCCTAGCAAATATGATGGCACATCTCAAACCCAAGAGACTCAAGTTAGAAACAAAAATGTTTATAAGAGAATCTGCTGGGATATCCAGATGGAAGCTAAATAAAATTGATAGTCTTTATATTTGCAATAAACACATAGAAATGGGAACCAAAGAAATTGTCTGTCACAACAATGAAAAGAACTGTGAAATAATTATAATTTCATTTAACAAGTAAACCATAGGATCTGTAACATGAACTATGAAAATGTACGTGTGTCAAGAATGTAAAGACATACCAACTATGTGATTGTGGAAGGAAGAAATAATATCACGAAAGTATAAATTCTCCCAAATGAACCATTTTAATTATAATGGAAAAAGTTTTTTTAGCATTAAGAAAAAATGACTGTGATTTATAGGGAAGAATTTTAAAAAAATTAACAAATAAATTATGTAAAAGAGAGAGAGAGGCATTTGCTTTACTAGCTATCAAAATATTATCCAAAAGCAAATATAATCAGGTGAATATGGTATGGATAAAAGAATAGACAAATGGATCAGTGGAGGAATGGATCTGCAACTTTATTGAGTTTTAATTAACAGTAAGTATTATATTTTACATGCATCATGACCCTTGTGTGTGTTAAAAATAGAAATAAAGGTTCCATGATATATTTAACCTCATTGCATATGATACATTGGGATATTTTTTCTGTTCTAATTATATTTTAGAAGTGCCAAATAAAGTCCACTAACTTGCTTTTACAAGCAACCTATAGTCCTGACCTGTTGCTCAAAAGACACTAGAATTGAGAATCCAGAAAAAATTACATTTGATAACTTAATATGTACTTTATTTCAGTACAAAAGCAGCTAATTCTATGTCATACTTTGTTTAAGATAAAATTTGTATGTTTAAGGATGTACTGTAAAATACATAAATAGATAAATATTTGAAGAACATTTAGGCTCTTACTTAAGTAATGTGAAAGTAGGGAAGAACTTTTTAATGAACACAGAAATGCTCAGAAGATATGGTCAGCACCATACAAATGGAATGTATGTGACACAGGAACCCACAAGTTAGAAGACAAGACAAATATTAAAGTCAAGACAAATCTGTTTACCAAGGAAATAACAGTAAACTCATTAATATCTGCAATATACAAAGAATTTTTGGAGTATTATAAAAGGCAAAAGAACTCAAACAAACAAAAATAAACAAACAGCAATGACAACAAAACCCAGGTGAATAGAAAGAAAAGACAAAAGAGATGAAGAGCAATTTAGAAAAACAATAATGAAAATGGTCAGCACGTTGAAGAGCCTCAAAATCAGTAAAGCACACATTAAAATTTTAATGAAAAATTTATTTTCCATCAAACTGGTGTTATTGAAGTTTTACTTTAAACTCAATCTGTCAGTTCCTAAGCAGATTAAACATGGAGTTACCATATGACCCAGCGATTCCAGCACATAGTGTACACAAGAAATATGAAAACACTTCCAATGAAAAGCAAAATATTTGTTCCAGTGTTATTTTTAATAGCTGGAAAATGGAAACAACCCAATGTTCATCAGCTTGGAAGGGGATAAGTACGATGTAGTATATCCACACAATGGAGTATTATTCAGCAATAAAGGGGAATGAAGTACAGTTGCATGCCCCGACAGGGGTGAACTTTATAACTTACTGACCAAGAAGTGAAAGGAGCCGATCACAGAAATCCCCATATTGTATGATTACATACATGAAATCTCCAAGATAGCCGGATCCATGGCGACAGAAAGTGGATTAGTGGCTGGCCAGGTCTGGAATGGGGTAGGAAAGGTACTCATAGATGAGATCTCAGAATAGTGATGTTTATACCAGCCTTCCTGTGACCACAACAAACTAGAAGCAATGAGAGCTTCTCAGCATAGTTGATATAATGTGTATGATTTCCACAAGCCACAATTCAGTTGGACAAAAGTATGTTTTTCTGTCTTTTTAAATAACGGGATATATTTTCTTATCAAGTAATCTTCTTTTCCCTTTTCCTGTTTATGCCTGATGGAAGAAAATGTAAACTAGTCATTTCTAGGTAAAGTCACTCACACCCACATGTTTCTCACTCTTCTACCACTTCCTAGAATGCTAGAATCATGGCGCAGGTGAAAGTGTGTAGTTCACGTAGCTTTATGGCGCAGAAGGGACTCAAAGTGCCCTTCCACTGAGCTAAATGGTTATATTTTATGCTTCTAGATTGTCATCTCATCTAATAAACACTGCAATGTTGTGCATAGCACATCTGTTAAAATCTAACCTATCCTTTCTCTCTGCGTGGTTGCAGAGCTCTGATAAAATTAGAGTAAGAGAACAGAGTAGCGTTGGGAGTGACCAGTCCTAAGAACTGGAAATGTAATGATGTGTGTGTGTGTGTGTGTGTGTGTGTGTGTGTGTGTGTGTGTGTGAGATATTTATTGTTACAAGGATACTGTATTTATTCTTACCTTATAACAAATGGAAAAAATGAATTCTATTTGAATTATAGATTATGTAAAAATGGTTCAATCCCCAGCACCAGAAATTGGTAGTGTAATAGCCAAGTTCCAGTTTGTTCACCTACTCATAAGCCCATGGGTTGATAAATATTGCTAATGTATGATGAGCC